GGAGTAATAGTATTTAATAGTACAATTCCTATTTCACAGATGGATGAAAATGACTACTAATGGTTATCACATTGCCAAAGTGTTATAAATAACATTTTACTAAACCATTGTTAATTTGGTAGACATTGTCATTCATTTATTTAGCTGTCCTACCAATATGTATTATTTATATTTATAAAACCCCAATCTGAAATTAAGAGAGCAAGCTGAGTGAAGTTTTCATGACTTGATTAATATCACATTGTGTTTTGATAGGACATACCTAGCTGTATTTGTATGAATACTTGTCTGGATTCTCTTTCTCAACAATACCCAATGGTAGGTAACACCCAGCTAAATATTATTATTCCCCACATCATAATATAACTTTCATTATGTGGTTTAATTTTGTGCTTTTTACATAAAATGTCTTGAATTATCCCCGAATTAATGCATAGTTGTCCTGGCAACATTCTGATCAACATGTGTGTTCAGCATTGGTCAGGTGGTTATTAAGGCACTTCCATTTAGCCAGAACTAGCTGGCAAGCMTGGCTGATAAGTCTATAAATAAGTAATTCATCCATTTTGTTGAGATTTCTCAGCTGTAATTTTTCCAGGTTTCCATATTAAGTCTACAGAGTCGATCATTGTTAAATGATTAGCTCCAATTATGATGCAATTAAAAAATATTTTTTTTACAGTGCAAAGTCAAAAAGTGTGACAGCACACAAAATATGTATGTTTTTCAGGTCAAGTTCTGTAGAGTCAAAGCCACAATAACTGGCATAAGTGCAAATTTTGTGAGTAATACATTTTTGCATTTTTAATAAAATGGCAAAGCAATGTGGGATATTTAGGGTAAATGATTGAATGGAAATACATGTAATGAATGAATGTGTAAATGAATGATTAAGCGACTTGTCTTTGCACAGAGAGAAAATGGACTWCCAGCTCTACTAGTTTATAAAGGTGAACAGCTGGTTGGCAACTTTGTTCAACTTGAAAATGCATTTGGAGATAATTTTGATTCAAGTGATGTAGAAAGTTTTCTCATTCAGTAAGTACTGTGTAATTATCTTGTTAGCTGGTGTATAATAATAATAATAATAATAATAATAATAATAATAATAATAATAATAATAATAATAATAATAATAATAATAATAATATGTGGTATTTATATGGCGCCGATATCCTCTGAGTTCACAGGCGCTTCACATGTATAGATCATTTCACACGGACAGCTGTTTAAGGCGCAATTGGCAGCCACGCAGCTTACAATCATGAGGGGTTAGTAATTAGTATGGGTTAGTAGTAAGGCCTAGCCACACACACCGGGAATCATTCCCTACTCTTATGCAAACAGTGGTGTGGGTTCTTTAACGTCCCTCTAATACAGGTTAGTGAGTGAAGTGTAGAGAGACGGGACCTCTGATTTTACGTCGTTATCCGAGAGGACGCGAAGATCTTACCATTTGCAGATGGAGAAAGACAAAGGCAGCAACTTCTCCTCGATTATTTTAAGACCCTGAGTGTTGGTCTGGCCGGGGTTTGAACCTGCGACCTCCCGCACTAAACTCCGATGCTCTACCTACTGAGCTAACCGGTCGGCGGTATCTCGACGTGTGTTCTGTGATTGTCTTACATAATATAAAGCTACACATGAACATTAGCAGAATGTCATGTCCATTATGCAGGATGAGAGCATAAGATAAAAACAAGAAAGTATTCCACGAAGAGACACACTTCATGGTTATATACATGTCGACTGTACAATGTAATAATATTTATAATGAGCATTGCATTTGGCCCTCACTCTGTCAAAATGCATTTTCATTCAAAATATTTTTTCTTGACTATTATATTTAAAAGAATCCACTTCTGAGCTTAATTCAGTTGAAGAATCGTGATGAAGTCCAAGAGTTACATGAATCATTTCCTACACTTTCTTTTATAGGAATCATATATTGACAGATGATATCAACTGCGAACCATCAACAATAGCTCAACATAATGAAGATCATGAAGATAGTGATTTAGATTTAGACTAAAGATGCTCAAATTCATGATATATTGATAATTATTTTATTGTAGATACTGTATTAATATATTAAGGAAGACCTTGTAAAGCTGCAATCCACTAGAATGATATTACTGACATATAAATATGTGATCTTAACCAGCAGGTGTAAGTTAGGATAGTCATGGCCAGTTACTGATGGTGGTCATGGCCAGCCAGTGTATGCTCATGGCACTTTTCTGCCAATGCAGTACTGTGACATTGAATGTATATATTTGACATATTCTTGAATCAACATTTTCATTTCATATGATACCARATTGGTTCCTTGACCATGTTGTGTCATGTCCATGCCATAATACGTGGCTTTGTGCAGTAAAATCAAATCCAGTCAGTGTGAGATAAACAGTCATTGGTTTAGGATAATATGATTAGAAGTGGAAAAAAATATTATTGTGAAATATCCAGCTGTATCCCTACTAAATTATAATAAAAAAAGACATGAAAGTACATCATATGACCAAAAATAATATTGTTAATTACAATGTAAATATATCTGTTTGCAATAGATATTAACAATATAATATTTAGGTAATTGATCACTACAATTATACTCTAAATAGTTTGTATGTGGAAGTGAAGTTTTCACTAAGATGTGATCATGTACTATARAGCCTGTGCATGTATAGATGTCCAATGGAAAGTCATTATGTTTCCTGCAAAAATGTACAGATAAAAAGWAATCAATATAATATGAAATATAAAATCACAATAAAAAAGCAATGAATAAAATTAGTCTTTCAAAATGCAATGCATTGGGCCTGCCYGGGAGATGGGGGGGRRGGGGGGGGGGGGGGGGTATACAAATCCAGGGTCAAACAGGACCTGTAAACACTTACACACTTATTTCAATCAAGACAGMAAAGTTGTGAAATTCCATTCTATTCAAAAGAAATTGGTAAAATGTAGACCTAATCCAAGACTCTAGTGTTCCCATTGAAGATGTCAATATGTCTTTTTTTATTTTGACTTTACATTCTACTAGTAGATAAATATCGACATCCTGACTATCCTGGAAAAATATAGAAAATACACCCCTATTTAGGACAGTTAGAGGTAAATTGAATACCCTATTCAAGAAGGTCTGCAAGAACCATACCCCTTTTGACAGAATGTCCCTAGCAAATATAGGGGGATTGGAACTGAGTTGTTGGATCCACAACACCCCCTCCCCCCCTTCATGTCACTTCAGACAATCTGAATGCACCCCCACCCCCCCACTTCCAGTCACTTCAATTTWTTTCTCTATGAATATTTGATTGTAGAGTTTTGATTTATAGTTGATCTCGAACGTTTTCAATCGGTTCAATCTTATTTGTGTGATATTTGTTTTATTTGAAAGTGTTGACGTTTTGCTGATAAGTAGTGAGCGATCACATGACTTGAGAGTATGCTTCAGCCTGACTGTAAACAACATGGCGGACGGTTAAATCGATACTTGTAAATAAAACGCCTAAATTTGCACAATGTCCGGTTCAAGCCCCACTAAAGAGGCACTAAGCATCGTTGATAAGTTGAAAGTTTGTATTCTGAAGCAAGACCAAATCATTCGCCACAAAGATGCCGAGATCAATGCACTTCAATTTAGAGTTGCTTTGTTAGAGAAGGAAAGAGCGGAACTGAAACGACAACTTTTGAATGAGAAAGGGGTCGACTTAACGGCAGTGAACTGTGCTATCGTGGATCTAGAAGATAAAGACTCCAGGTAATAAGTCACGACATTGTAGTCATATGTCTTATCAACATGGACCTGTATACATAAACTTGTATCATTTCGTTTTTATCAACGAGTCGGCAAACACTAATAAAATMAAATCAAAACTTTGGAATATATTGATATAAGGTTAGGTTTAGCTTATTTGATTTGCCAATAGTCAATACAAGTCGTAAATACAAAAACAGTTAAGCTTACTAAGAATAACATTAAGAGAGCAGTTTTCGATTTCACGTAAAAATGGCGGGACAAGAAACGTCATTGAATCACATTGTATCTTTCGAAAGCAAAGCAGTTTGAAGTTATCCATCATTTTTAACCATGAACGCTTATAGATTGATTAACTCAGTCTTAATTAGGACACTGTGTTGTAGGAATATGAATTGTTTTCTTTTCCCTTGTAAAAGTTATAGTTAAAATTGTTCGATTTAAGCTTAAGATAAGTTAATCTTAAACTTACAGTTAAAACTTTTACAGTGTGTACATAACTTAATATATGCTTGACCCTTTTATAAAAACCGTTGAAGTAATTATTACAAAAGTAGAACTTATGTTTGATTTGAATAAGGTTGCTAGGGTCAGACTACTTTTTAATCAATTTTAATTTATATAATATTTGATTGGACCAAAGGGAAGTAAGAATGACAGCTCACACCTCTTGTCTGCTGCCCAATATGCTAATCTTTGCCTTCTGCCTGCTCTGCCTCTCTTGATGTTACCCTATGTACCCAGCAGATTGCTAGTCAGTGTCCCACCAGTATTGATGTTGGCTTGACAAGATCTGCTAGGTTGTTTGTGAATAGCATATATATCAAAATTGTCAATATTTCACTTTAGGGCTTATTTCTTTTTGAATAAAATCTGTGTGATYGAAGCAGCTACATTTCTCTTCTCTTTAAAAAACTCATACATAATTAATGAGTTATTAGGCCAATAAAATGATTTGGTCACATGCATGGACCTTTTATATCTGATAAAACACTCCTTATTAGTATTCTTAGTTTATAATAAAGCTAATAAGGGTGACCTTTTATCAGTTACAAAGGTCCATGACCCTAGCAAAGGTCAATCACGTAGAGCACACTTGTCAACACTGTGGGAATGATGACAAGATTAAAATACGAAGATAATGAAACCCCTGAATCTGTGCTGGAGGTTGAAGGTTTTTTTTAATATGTTTTGCAATGAAGTTGATTTATTTGATAATTTAAGCAGTTTGACACATGATCTATTATTAACTAGCTTACCGCAATATACATGATTGTAGTTTTTGGTTTGCAGAACCCTAATGCACACAGCAGGAAAAAATACTGATTACAACTTTAGAATTTTTACAAAATTAGGTTTTGCATACATATTCACTTTGAATCAACATGGAACCTATTGCATTTGGGTCAACAACAATTTATATTTGGYTCAGGCCCTTACAACGACTGTAGCATGTGAACCTAAATGATACTGATTCTATCTAGCTGTTCTTCATTGCTATTTCATAACAATTGAGATGTGTGTCTGTCACTCTTTCATTCTAGGACAAAAGAAATGAGTAAAATACAAGACAGTTCATCTCCTRCTATTGTTGTTATGGGTGAGACAACATCACGAGGGAGCCTGAAATCCAAAATAAGAGAAGCAAATGTCAAAAGAAATGACAGCATCAATCGGTCCAAGTCTTTTAACAAAAAATATGAACTATCACCTGATTTACAGGAGAGAAGTGTTATGTTACTTGAAAAAAAATATGGTGGCAAGGAAAAAGCTCACCATGCAGCTACTGTAATTCAAAGTTACTACAGAAAATACACTATGGATAAGAGGTTTAAAAGAATAAGAGCTTACACTGAGACACCAGAAAAGGCTTTACAAACTGATGGATCACATGTTCAAACTACTCCGGTATTAAGACTTGTAAAAAGGCATACTGCTGATAGAAATAACAGAGTTCGCTCAACATTGATTATTGATAATATTACTCCATATACCCCAAGTGGTCAGTTGAACTTAGCCAGGCATTTTGAATCTGTGAAGGGTGAACAAAAGCCTGCGATGGACAATGACAGTGATGATGAAGGACAGACTGTCAGTGTCACTGAGAACTACATGAAAGTTGAAGTAGTGGATCGTATTGCCAAAACTCCAAGCATAACTATTGAAAACGAAGGTATCACGTATGTAAATGGGGAAATACCTCRCCAACAAAAACTATCCAATACGTCACTGGAAGAAGGTGATGAAGGTTAGTGTCATCTCTAGAAGTTAGCAGTACTACAGAAAAGAAAGTACATGAATACATGCATAACATAATTGACATTTTTGTGTTTGTTTAATAATGGTCAGCATTTTCAATCAATCAATCAATCAGTTAATTTCAGTTATCGGCAGAGATGCCAATATTTTGTATTGTCAGCAAGTTACCATATATTTACCCATGTATAAGCCRCTCTCGTAGATAAGCCGCACCCCGAGTTTTAGGGCCGTTTTTGAGGGRAAAAAAGACAGAAAATAAACTTTTCTCTTTTTGATCRCCACTTGCGAACACAGCTTTCTTTGATYTTAAAGTGCTTTTCCGCTGCTCGATTTCCGTGATCCAAATTAGCATCRCGTTACCACAACAACTCCAAGACAAAACGATTCAAAATGCTCTCTGTTCATTGGCTCAATAACCACGCACTTTTCAGTGATTTATTGACTGGTGTTTCTCAGGGCTAGATTTTCGTAGAATTTATAGTAATACTGAGAAGTTTGGATTAAAATTTCTGTTCTCACCGTCCTGTCTGCAGTAAGTAGCACCGTGAATGCTAATTTATGCAAATTAGTTTTTATCGGGCATTTTTACGAGTCTTCTCGTAGATAAGCCGCACCCCCGATTTGGGAACGATTTTTTTGGAAAAAAAGTGCAGCTTATACATGGGTAAATATGGTAGTTTTGGCTAAATTGAGGCAGTTTGGTAAATGGTTAAATAAACTAGAAGAGATCAAGTGGACAAATTATATTTCCTCAAGGAGCACCAAGCCACAGGCCAACCTGACACGAGGTGTCCTTGGTAACAGCCAAAGACCACCACCTGTCACACTGTAAAAAAGTGAAAAGAATTTAAAATTACATACCCATACTTACCCCAGCGGAGGGTGGGAGAAACTTTCACACACGTGATTCGATRCACACCAAGCAAAGCCAGCAAATGTAGCAAACAACACGGGCTAGAGTGAATTGATTTTAACTTAGCCTTAAATGTACATTTTAGCCTCATTGAATCAAACAGTGTACCTTTTACGAGGCATTCTTTACTTTAGTCGCTTAGATGTGATTGAAACCACAATTAGAAAGAATTTCCATCCAATCAATAACAAGTTTACACATAGCATGGTTAACATTTTATTCATCGCGAATCATCATGGTATTGTGATAAAGATTTTAGATAATGATAATTTGAAAATGATGCTGTGATAAAAATCAAATATTTATTGTATTCAAGTGTTTGGGACAGATTACAGTAAAGCACATGATAATTCAAGTGTCGACAGCCTTGATGGTGCATGTACATCACGTACTGAGGAAGATAACGTTAGTGTTTCATCTGAATTTGAAACTATTCCTACTGAGTACCTTAAACCACAAAAACTAGAGATGAGGATAGGAATTAACCATTTTAATAGGTAAGTTTTTTAATAATTACTTTTATAAAATCTTAAGTCATTCAGAGCTTTGCATGCTCATAAGTTTGCCTTCAGGCCTATTGTTGTGTTTTTTATAGTCAGAGTGGATTTCGCATAACTGTGCAAAAAATACTAACTGCACTTTAGTGCAGGTGGCAACAAACCCTGGGCCCAGGCCTACCCGTGGGCCCCACTATGGCCTTCACCACATGAAGCCCTATAAAAACTCGTTGGACTACCGGCAACAGTCTATATTGACATTTTATCGATCCTGATATAATACAGATGTAGTTTTTTTTGGATTATCTGTAAAATGGTGAAAAATAGGACAGGCCATTAGGGTAGGCCATAGGGTAGGCCATAGTGTGAGCCACTGGTAGGCCATGGCCTAGCCCATAGCCTGGGCCCAGGGTTTGTTGCCACCCCTTTCGTGCTGTGTCTGTACCGTGCAATGACGGTGATGTATTCTGGATTTCTTATTTTTATTTGGATCAATACCAGGTGAGGTTCCGTGGCTGTGCCGTGCAGTGTCCGTGTTGTGATCCRTGCCTTTGCACAGTCTTACGAAATCTGCTCTATTCTTTACCTTCTGTGTTTACATCTTTATTCTACGTATTCAATTTGTAGTATTTTAAACTGTACCGTCCAGTATGTATTATATAATTATAATTATCATAAAATAATGTTATTTTTTCCAGGAAACCAGAGAAAGGAATTGATTATCTTATTTCACATCAAGTTATTGAAGATAACCCACAGTTAGTTGCAAAGTTTCTGATATCAGAACATGGAATCAGCAAACAGAGACTTGGTGAATACTTGGGCAATATTCAAAATGATTTTAACATGGCAGTGTTGAAGTAAGAACTGATTTCACTTGTCAATCTTAGGTTTCAATTATATTTARTGATATTGCTAAAAATGTACATTTTATTTGATATGCAGTTCACTTCTGACTATAATTGTTAGCATTAAAACAATAACTATTTGAATGTTTTCATGTGATGTCATAATGATGCAAATTTATTGCCAAATAAATTAATAAACAACTTACTGCAGCTGTTTTAGAATATAGTATATTGACAGCGTTTTGTCATAGGTGTTTTACAGAGAACCTAGACTTCACTGGGATGGAGATTGATGTTGCTTTGAGACTGTTCTTGTCATATTTCAGGATTCCTGTATGTATTTTATGAGAGTGAAATAACATTTTTTACTATTTAATAATAATTAAAACTATAACAAAGGGCCAGATTACAAAATTGCTGACACTTTAAATGGAATATGGATTCAAAATAAAAAAAAATATTTAAAAGAAGAATGAGAGTGCTGATACGATGCATGAGTGAATGAAATAACTTTTTTTTTCTGGATTGCCAAAAGAAATAAGCTTTTGAAATAATCGGCTAATATATCATTTGTTTTTTATCTAATTTGTTTTCAATTTTGTGTWATTTTGTTTCTAGGGAGAAGCACAAAAGATTGAAAGACTGATGGAGGTGAGTACTGCAGATTTATTTTACAAGTCAGTGAATAATTAAGTGTACACTAATTATTAATAGCACTTTGCCATTCTCAGTTTAATTGCCTAGACTGCAAAAATCAATGAAATTCACTTTTATTATTATTATTTTTCTTTTTGGTGTACGCAATAAAAGTTTGCTTTCTGCTGTGATTTTCTTATTGCTCATCAATTGCGGTTTTTTGTGTGTCTTTGTCTCTCTTGTTTTCTTTTAATCAATTCATTGTTTCATCCAACATTCATTTGTCTACAACTGTTTTTGAAGCCACCAGTTCTAATTTATGGCTAGGTATTCAAGATACTAAAAACTGTTTTATTATCCAAGATGTTCTCTGAGCAATACCTGTACTGTAACCCCACTGATGACAAAGCTGCCAAAGACAAAATCTTGATTCTTGCCTTTGCTATTGTCATGTTAAACACTGACCTGCACAGTCCTAATGTCAAGAAAAAGATGTCAGAGCAGGATTTTATCAGAAATCTTGAAGGTCAGTAGTTGTGGTTATCATGTTATCACGATGTCATAATCACTACCACAATTTATTAATTAAAACTTCATGCAAAACAATTCTCTGACGACTATAAGCATTATATCCAATATGAGGGGGCAATCTGTATGAGGATGTAAAACAGCGAGCATTGTTTTAAATCCTCACATACAGATAGCACACAAATATTGTATATTAGTTATGAAACGTTGACTAGGTAAACTTGCTCACTCAGGTTTTAAACAAACTTTTTAAAAAAAGTATTCAATCTTACCGAGAAAATAAGAGTTAAAGTTTATTCATCCAAATGAACAAAAATCTGTTAATACAGGTGTATGTGGATTTGCAACTCTCTTCATGGGTTATGATTTCTATTGTGTTTTGCCTTATGAATATTATTTAATGAGTTTTATAATAAATATTTATGGMAATTTGTGCCTGAATACATGCCTTTCCTTCTCTGTGCAGTCAATTGTATTTATTATCAATTGATGTTGTTTATCACTCMAATTCTACGTCAGAATTCATTTAATATTTGATTGAAATGCAGGTGCTAATGATGGGGGTAATTTCCCTCCAGAGAGTTTATCRGGGATATACAGGAGAATATTAAAGGTATGTGATATCACAATTTATTGGTCAATATTAGATTGTGTGACTATATATTCATCTTGTATTATTTGCAGAAAGAATTTACACCTGCAAGAGACCATGTAACCATGACAATCAAGCTGGAAAAAAAGATAGTTGGCAAGATGCCATGGACAGTAAGTTTATTTAATATTTAATATTTATTTAGCTTTGCCAATAAAGTAACACACACACAAATATGATAATTTTATCACAACTGTTAAGCCAATTTCTATGGGCCTGAACAAATAAGAAATAAAATTACAAACTATCAATGATTAGGAATTAAGAAGACTATCAACTGGATCAGGTAATGAGGCTCGTTAGACTTCTTGCTGTGTTGAATTTTCGTCCAGATAGACGTGAAGGTCCAGGGGTCGTTTTGGTCATAATTTATGGAATGAGAGTGGTAATATTCTAATAAAAAATTCTGTCTAACAAAATAATAATATTTGAAAGAAACTAATTATAGCTATATAAAATATATATCCTAGATAATGGTGGGAACTAGCGGTAAACTAGTGTGAGCTGCGTCGGTGTTTCTAAAGAAACAGTTATGTAAAAAGATAAATTTAACACCGTAAAAAAGTATGTGGAATAACTTACTGACGTTTCGGATGTTAATCCTTCGTCGGAAACGTCAGTAAGTTATTCCACATACTTTTTTACGGTGTTAAATTTATCTTTTTACATAACTTATCCTAGATAATAACTGAGTACTTTGGTCCCCACGCTCCCTCGTAAGTTGTTGCTATTTCTTATTTTATATGTCATTTTTTCTTCTTCTTTTAATTAACACTATATTTAAAAGAAATGAATAAGTGCAATAAAGAAAACTTGAAAACTTGAACTTWAAGTTTTAAATTGGAAAACTTTAAAGCTTTTGCTTCTTAATATCTGCATACCTACAAAATTTAAAGTTGGCTGACCAACYGTGAATCTTTTCTTAATTTTGTGCAATTGATTGAATACCATGCATGCTATTAATTAATGGCACAAATCTATCCCAGAATGTGAATGATCTACAGTCACATTTAATATSTTTTTGCTATCATGTACTTCCCCTAAATGCGATGGAATTGAATATTTTAATAAATATATAGATGACATTGAAAGGAAATACCACCTTTTGTTCTCACTTTCATCAAATAYATGTACATGCTGTATTTYTCATTAATTTTTCTCGAACGGTGGTATTTYCAATACTAATTTCTATAATGGAAGACTCCAGACAYGGGTGACACAGATGAGGTAAGAGCATTTGATATGTTGCAGTCCTACTAGTAGACACACTWCTTCAGACATTGTGTGTGATTTGATAGCAATTGTAAGGTAATGAGCCATAGTCTTAATATTGCGTGCTCTAATTATTAAAACTATTTTTTGCCTTCATGGTTATAGTCCCTTGCAGCTCCTCATCGATACTTACGCATGACAACCCAACTGTATGAAGTACAAGAGCCTCACAAGAGAGACAAGATACACACACGCATTTTATTTCTCTTTAATGATCTATTGATTGTAAGTACAATTTTACATCAAGGCAYGTTTTGATTTTTGCTTTCATCATCATTTAGTAAAATAAAATATTATTGTGTATTAATCATAAGTCTGTGACTTTTCTGAATGTGAATTTATTTAAATTATGATATTTGAAACATCCTCATGTTGTCAATGTTGAGTTGTTTGTGTGAAAAGTGTTGCTCTTATTTAGCAATTATTTGTTGTTATCAGGTGACAAAAGAAAGAGGCAAATCAGGGCAAAGAGATGGCTTTCATTTCTACAGCTACAAAACGTCTTTTCCTCTCGTTGGTGTTAAAATATCTTTATTCAATAATGACTGTAAGTAATCCATTCACTGAAACTCACATAATTATAGTGTTGTAGTAGAAACAACTAGATTGGATTTATTATCAGGTAATAATGTGACTCTATACATGTAACCTGGGACACACCTTATTAAAACAGATCCTAAGAGATTGGTCATTATGACATTGATTATGCAGACTGTATTTTGTCTTTTAGATTATCTGTATGGGATTCAACTGTATTCAAGAATACAAAGCAAGGTATGTACTATATGTATTTGGAATGTACTCAA